AGAAAACCTGTTCCTCTGCACATACTCCCTGGGATGAAGCTGCCCATAGGAACCCCTTGAGCACAAACACAGGTTGATGACAAGAAGTGAGGACCAGAACTGCAACTGTAGCCATTCATATCCATAAGTAATTTCAAGAGAAAACTTAGGGAAGCAGCCCTAGGATGATGCTGCCTACATTACGTATCCTCCTGCTGGCCAGCCTTCCCAGGACACACAAGAAGCCATACACAGCAGCCATAAACACATGGAGCTGACGGGTACCTGCCTCTGTTCAGCTGCTCTTATCATCTGGGGAAAGAAAGAAACCTGTGTGAGTGGATTAAAACCACTGTTGAGAAGAGAAATGAAGAAATCAATTTCTTGGGATCTGCTATTCTGATTAATTAAAGCACCATCCCAACAAGGGATAAAGGCTCCATTTTAAGGAGGCAATTACCAAACTCCAACACTTTTCAGGATACTTTCAAAATTAATTCTCATCCAAGACAGCTGTATAAAAATAACTGTGCAACTGTGTTGCTTTGGCATGAAGAATACTGTGTAACCTGAAGAGGTAAAAGATCTGTCTGCAAAACCTCTGGAGCTGAGGGGATGGATCTTTAGGTCTGGTACAGTTAAGCAATCTCTGCAAGAAGCATCTCCACTTCATAAAGACACTTCTGAAAAGCAGAAAGCTTTTTTTTTTAATGTATCAGATAATAAATATTTTTAGAAGTTGTCTACATTTTTTAGAAGTCACTACATTTGTAAAAAAAAGTTCTTATTTAGAACTGACCAATTTGCAGAACAACCCAAAAACTTTGAATAAACACAAACCCCAACACTCAACAGCAATCCCATCCAGATCAGTTGGCTTCCAGCAAGTCTTGCTAGAAATTTCCTGAAAGAAATGAGGGAAAAGGCTATCCTGAAAAAGACTAAACGTCCTCCAGCATAATTTCTAGAAGGTTTTGTATGTATGTGTGTGTGTCAACAGCCAGAATGTAACTTGTTATGTGTGATGCATAATGAGATCACATTCAAAATGTTCTTGTATGATCGTGTGAAGACCATGCATCCATTTGAACAAAGTGGTGGATGAGAGACTGGACATGATGGCAACATGTGCTTGGCAGCCCAGAAAGCCAACTGTGTCCTGGCTGCATCCAAAGTAGTGTGGGCAGCAGGTTGAGGGACAGGATGCTGCCCCTCTACTCTGCTCTGGTGAGACCCCACCTCAAGTACTGCATCCAGCCCTGGGGTCCCCAGCACAGGAAGGACATTGACCTGCTGGAGCAAGCCCAGAGGAGGCCACCAAGTTGATGAGGGATGGAGCACTTCTGCTATGAGGAAAGGCTGAGGGAATTGGGATTGTTCAGCCTGGAAAAGAGAAGGCTTCAGGGTGACTCTCCTGCTTCCAGCCGGGACAGGGCTAATTTTTTGCAGTACCAGGAGGTGGCATGGCCAGGACAAGAAGATTATTTAACACCACCTCACCATCATTGCTGGGACAGGGGAAAGGGACTCTCTTCTAGGGAGAATGGGTTCCTTCTGGTCAAGTAAGGGTGGCAGAGGGAGCCATCCAGTACTGTCTATTGTCAGGGTTTTTTCTTTGTCTTTTCTTGTACCCTGTCATTAGTATCCTTGCTGTTACTGTTAGTTTTCTTATCTCATTGCTGTTTCCAGTAAATTGTTCTTATCTCAACCTGTGATCTTTTCCTTTTGCTGGCTCCAATTCTCCTCTCCATCCTGCCACTGCAGGGAAAGAGAGGGGGAGGGGGAAAGCAGGGGAGCAAGAGAGACCAACAGGTGGTTTGGTGAGTCTTGGTGGGGACACTGAATTGGGGAGTATGATTCCTTAACCACAAGAGTGACCTAACTGAGGCCTCCCAGTACCTGAAGGGAACTTACAGGAAAGATGGGGCAAGAGCATGTAGTGAAAGGACAAGGGGGAATGGGTTCAAACTGAAGGAGGGTTTAGATTAGATATTAGGAAAAAATTATTTACTGTAAGCGTGGTGAGGCACTGGCACAAGTTGCCCAGAGAAGCTGTGGCTTCTCCATCACTGGAAGTGTTCAAGGCTGGGTTGGATGGGGCTCTGAGCAACCTGGTCTAGAGGCAGGTGTCCCTGCCCATGGTAGGGGTTTGGAACTAGATGATCTTCAAGACCCCCTTCCAAAACAGACCACTCAATGATCCTGTGAGAGTTTGTTCAATAGACTTATCTCACATGGGCTGTGGAAGCCACTTAGTCTGGGCCTAACAGTGCACAGCCTGCTCTGGGACTAGTCATCCCTCCAGGCTCTTACTCTGCCATACTTGAAGTTAGCAGGTAATGAGATGAAAGGCATGAATGCTGCCTGCCAGCAGCACTGGCACTGGGAGACACCAACACAGTCATGATCTGTTGTATTTTAGTGACTTGGACCTGGGAGGGGTTTAGATGGAGGTGGCTGGGCAGACTGGGCTGTGGCTCGGAGCTGTACAGGAGAGGAACCCTGCAGAAAGTTGAAGGCACCTTCAGCTCCTGGGAAGGTGCTGGCTGCCTAAAGGGGAGTAGGGGCACACAGAGGGAAGAAGATCAGTCCTACATCAGACAACTGCAGCTGTGTAAGAGCAGATTCCGTGGGAAGGCAGTCTCACAGCCCACCCATGGGGAAGTGACAGGGAATCATTGGCAAACTTGCATCCCAAATTGAAAAAATAATTAACCACCTAGCTGCTTTTAATTAAGATCTTGACTTATTCACCACTCCAGGATATGCAGATGTTTGGCTGCTGGGATGTATCAACACACCTGAGCACTGGAGGCAATTGTCTCTTGGCTTCATACCTCAGCAGGCAGCAGAGAGGGGCTCCCGTCCTGTAAGACATGCATACCCCAGCTTATGGTATTGGCCATGTCTATGGATGGGAGAGTTTCTTATCAATAATACCTCTGATACTGCCTTGGTGGAGATTTTCATATGCAAATTTCAGCATATCAAAGGTGTTTTGCTGTTCTGGCATCGTTGCATCAGCTAAGTGCCAAAGCAGCATGCAGCGTTTTACACTTATGTAAGGAGATAAAGTTTTTGCCTCAAGGATATGATGTTCCAAAGACAGAGATAACATGATGGGAAATGACAAGAAGCAGTGGAGAAGGGGGGGTGGGGAAAAGAAAACAAAAGAGACAAATAGAGAAGAGAAAGGGCAGGGTACTGTCGTGGGAGGACAAGCCTCTGTTTTTCATTTCAGCATGTATGATGTTTTCCCTGGATTATCTCTCTCTAGGATCTTTGAAGTTATTTTTCTTGATCATCCTCTTCTCATCCTTCACCTCCTCAGGACCACGTTTTCTGTATTCTGCACAACAGTCAGTGAGTCTCATACAGAGGATGATGCTACTCTGTGCAAATTCAACTGCTAGAATCTGGCCCCTCAAGAGTAAGAATCGCTCAGTGCAGGAAAAGATGAGATTAATGGCAGAAACTGCAGATGACTGTAAACAAATTCATCCCTTCAGTTTATTCCTCCTCTTCTTTCGTTTCTGTTACTCAGGCCTGTGAGATGCAGCACCTCTGATTAGAAGATATCTATCTAAATCAATGTCTTCAGCTTGAACTAATAACCCTGTCATCACCACAGCACCTGGCCTGTCTCTGACACCTTTCTGTTCATGAGAGACAAACATGCTTATTTTATATCACACTTAAAAAAAATTCCTGAAAATTCATTTTGTTTGCCTTTCTCAGAAACGAGACCAGGTGGGTGTCCCCCCTTTCTGCCCTGCACTGCCTGCAATAATTGGTGGCTCTGGAAAATTTTAATTTGTTCTGCAGCCAAATCAAGTTATCTAGTATTGATAATTAGAAAGTTTTAATAAAATTGTTGCTGAAATTCCTCTTCACACCTTGACATGGGCAGTTATGTCTGGGTTGCTTTTTGATTTAATTGTTCTTTACTAATTCAGGGATACCTGTGTTGTCAGGCCAATATTCTGCCCTCAGTGATGAAAGAAAAAAAATGCTCTAAAATGAAATAGTCTATTAAAATATAGTCAACTAAAAGTTACAACTCCCAGAACAAAATAATAAAACCCTGAAAACTAGTGTTTTTTTGGAAAGCCTGACATATTTCTGTTCATGAGGAACAAAACCACTTATTTTATAGCACAGTTAAAAAAAAAATCCCTGCAAATTCATTTTGTTTGTCTTTATCAGAAATGAGACCTAGGAGGTAATAGTAACAGATTAAAATGCTCAGAAAAGCTTGATGTATTATTTTTAAATACATATGTATGTTTGGTATGTTCCCCTGAGAGCTGCACTTTACATATTACAGTGCCTCAATGAAATTGTTTTCTGTAATTTACAGCAAGATTTTCTGCCACAGACAGCTTACAGCATGTCAGAGTGACACAGTCATGACAATGTCATACGGAAACTTCAGCACTGTGCATCGAATCAAGCTCACAGCCTGTATTCAACAGGGTGGCATGGTCATCAGCTCAGAGCCACTACCACGTATCAGTGCAATAACAACAAGGCTTTGATTTGGAGTATATTATTAGCCCATTGTATTAACACCACAGTGCCAATACTATTCTTGCATACTCCTTCTTTATACGATGGACATTAACTGGAGCTTTTTTAATTCCCTTCAAAAAGGATGAATCCCATCTGTTGTTATGCTCTTAGACAAAGCGGCGGATGAAAGGCCAGCGCCAGAAATCCCCAGCTAGGTGCTCGGGCAACCTGTCATCTGGATGGCAGCACGGGGCTCAGCGGGGAATGCTCAGCCCCTCACCGCTATATCACACAGAGAGTTCGGGAGGGTGCCGATGTAGGCGGGATTGGATGAGATGGGATGAGATGGGAGGGCTGCAGCCCTGTGGGGCCGGGAGCAGAGGGTGCAGACCGGGCTGTCTGCAGGGCTGTTCTCTGCACGGTGAAAAGGTGCTGGGGAGGAAAGAGGGAAGGATGATCGTCCCGTCCCGGGAGAGCCGGCCAGGCGCGACCCCCCCCCCATAACCTACTTTTTGCGCCGTGCGCCTTTTTCCTCCGGCTGCCGCGACGCAGCGCCCCGGCCGCCCGGCCGCCGCCCCCCGCGAGGGCATCCTCCCTCCTCCTCCTCCTCTCCTCCTCCTCCTCTTGCTCCTGCACCTCCCCGGCGGCGCGCGGCGGGCGGGGGGTCCCGGCGCGGCCCCGGCGGCCCGCAGGCCCCGCAGGACCAGGACCATCAGCGCGGCCGCGGCGGCCGCCAGGACCAGCGCCGGCCAGAGCAGCGCCAGCAGCCGCCCCGGCAGCTCCCCCGCGCCCAGCGCCAGCCGCGCCGGCCGGCCCCAGCATGGCCGCGCCGCGCCCCGCACCGGAATGCCCCGCTCCACTCCGCTCCGCTCCCAAAAGTTGGTGCCGGAGCCGCGCTCGCCGCCGCCCGGAGCGGCACCAGTGGCGGCTGCGGAGCCGCGCGGGCGGGGGGGACCGGCCGGCCCGGGGCGGGTGCGGGGGAGCCGAGGGTGGCGCGGACACGTCGGTGCTTACGGGAGCCTCGTCGCCACGGGCTCGGCCGGGAGGGCGGGTGCGCGGTGCGGGAGGGCGGGAATGGGACTCCCCGGGCGCGTGTGAGGCTGGTCTGGGGGCAGGAAGGGGTTAATGCATCGAATAGATCTTCCCTATGGAAGTGGTACATGATGAAAGGAGAACGCGATGCGGTTCGAAGCAGCAGAGCTGCGGGCATCGGCAATGGTTTGAGAGCAGATGTTTGACCGAGGATCGGCGTATGCAGGGATGCTCGCAAGTGATGCTTTTCTGCGAATTTCCCCCAGTCTAGACAGAAGAGTTTTTAGAGATGTACTTGAGTTGTCAGGCACCGTGACAAACAAGTCGTTATCGAGCACCATCGCTGTGATGATGACAAGCTCTGCCATGTAACGCAGCGCGTGATGCGCTCTCATCTCGGGCTGATCCTCAGGGAAATAGCAGTTTACCGCCGCCAGCAGAACGCTGAGCAGAGCGCCTGGAGCCACATCTTTGCTGCGCCCGGATAGGAAATTTCTCCACCCACCTGATGAATAAGTGCAGGTGGTGCTCTCAGAAAGTCTTTTTTTCAAAGTCACTGGGCTTCAGTGGCAAGTTGAGTTTTATCTTGGTCGATCTAGGGGGCCAACCTCCAAGCAATAAATAAGCAGTGAATAGCAGTGAACTGGAGTGAGCCCCTCATTCAGAAGTGTGTCTCAGTATGTTTGTGACTCACACCTGTCACAAGCTCAGTGGCATTCACTAGGGGCTATTACTACAAAATAAGATAGTAAATAAAGCTTATTTAACTAGAACAGCATAAAAAGTTATGTTTGTAGTAAACCCAGCACAGAAAAGGGGCTGGTAGGGGAATGGCTTTCATCTGTCAAGGCTTTATTTCACCCAGCAGGGACTGCTCTCTCCTGAGCATGGATCCAAGTGCTGGAGCTCAAGCTCAGACACACGCCCATGGAAAAGATAGCAAAGCAGAAGGCTCATTATCCACCCTTCCATTGGATTACCAACTCTTCAGGGATGAAAGATTTATTATTCCCATGTCCTGGGCCTAATTCCAATACATCCTAAACAAGTCTTGGTCTTGAAAGCATCATAAGGTGTTAAAGCACTCTAGAAATTTCCAGACAAAATACAGGAGAATTGTCAATGAAATGATGTGCTGAATGACTTTATGGGGAGAAGAAGGTTTTGGGAGGGAGAGAGAAACACTTAATACACAGAAGAGATCTGTGGGGATACAGTGGTACTTCAAACACTGTTGTTGGGGTGGGAAGCTTCTATTTAAACATAGATCCCACAAGTTATCATTTTCTGTGTCTCCTACTGCCTATCTTCTAAAATTCATCACTGACTAATCTTGTGGTCTGAAACCTCAGGAATTTGAGTGGTTTTGTACCTAAGCCCTGATACTGATTTCTTATGAGAATATGTTTATCTTGTATCCATCTGGAACCCTGAACTGGTAACTGCAAATGTCAGAGAAAAGGGGACTTCTCCTGAAGTTAAAAGTGGCAGTTATCTGATTAGTTTAGATACCTGTCTTTTATTTTTTCCCCTGTCTTTATTTCTCTGTTCGTAAAAGGAAGGTAAGTATCTTCAGGTCTGAGCGGTTAAAAAGTGTACAATCTATGCCTCGGATCATAAATAAATCCACTACTTTCAACTCATCTAAATTAAGTTGCTGTTCTTTTCCTGGGGAAACATAAGCTGAAAGACATTTCAGGAGTCAGCATTGCTTAATTGACTATGAGATTACTGCTTTGCAACATTCCTTTCTATTTCTTTTTTTCTTCAATAAAGGCAATTAGTGTGGCTGGCCTCTAATGGCATTTATTTTCAAAGATAAGCATCATCATATTAGACTTTTTTTCCTAGTATTATTACAGTCTTATTAAGCAACATATCACACCATTGTTCTATGAAAATTGCACAAATTATTGGCATGTAACGTTATATGGAAAGCCTGAAATTTTATTGCAAGCCTGAGAAAATACTTTTCTTTTTATGTGTGACATGAACTAATTGCAAATTTCGGATAGGAAGTTGTTCTCCATTCAGACTTAGACAGAAAATCCAATAATCAGGAGCTGGAATCACATATTTGTTGTAGATCAAAATGTGGTGGATGTTCACAAAATAATGCAGCTGCTAATGCCTGTTGAGTCCTGTTCAAACCTGTCTGCTTCTGCATGCACAGTTAGTCTTTCAGGGTGCTGAAATGATGAAAGTAGGCTTTGGGAAGTTTTCTGGAGAAAAATTCAGTCTTATTAATGTTTAAATATTTCATTAAAGCTGTTTGATTTTGACAAAACCATATGGCAACAGAAAAAAAAAACCCACAGCAAAACTTGGTTTGGACAGTTTTCTAGCTGAAATTAAAGCATAGTTTTTATTTCCATTTTCTATTGAATTGTTAAAAAATGAAATTTTCTAAAACAAGCAAGGTATGAAATGATTATTTTATTAACATTTCACAGAAATTATAATGTGACCTGATGTATTAGCACTAGACTTAAGGATTCACCCACAGAAGCCAAGAGAAATGCCCTACTCTGACGCTGCTCGTGTTTAATCAACAGCAACAGAAGTGATAGAAAAATTAGTGTTTTCAAACAAGTCAGAGATAGAGAGGGGAAGCTTTTAAACTGCCCCAGCAAAAACACCTTTCAAGAGGCACTGAGGGGAACACTTGGCAGTATTTAATACCCTTCAATCCTGTAACCAGGAATTCAGCAAGCTGTATATAAAAGAAGGCAGGCGGGTTTTGTTCCTAACAGTTGTTCAGAAAGCCTCGAGTAAGGGCAGAGAACGAGCTGTGTGTCTTCCCTTTGGGAAGCCATTGGTGCTGACCAGGTTGTTCAGAACAGACCCTTCTCATGAAGTCACAAGGCTTTGCTTTACTCTCTCTCAGACTATGGGGATTTGGGGTAACTGCATAGAAAACAGTGGGAATTTGCACCGGTTTAAGCGACACAGCGCAGGTCTCCTTTCGATAGCCTGTTGCTTAGCCCGGAGATGGGAGACTTTCCCTGTGAGCCCTGTGCCGACGCGGGCAGGAGGATGTTTGGACGTGGCCGAGATCAAAGCTTAGATCTCTGTTTCAGTCATTTCTGGGCAATGAAACACTGAGGTGTCCCCCAGCTGGCTCCTGTCGTGGGGCCCTTGCCAGCTGTGACCCTCCTCTCTGCTGGAAGGAAGCTCGTTTACAGGCTGAGATGGTCTCACAACCCACCCGCTTAAGGTCTTGCAGGGACATTTGCACCGAATCCTGAGGATCGTCTGCTGATGTGCAGGAAGTGTATTGATTACAAATTTGTGTAATTCACAAACTTTTCCCATTTTCCCTCCTGTCTGAAGCCCTGATGCACTAGCATGGACGTGCACAAAGCTGATCAACTACTGAGCTTGCTTAGCCTGTCGATGAGGAAACTGAGGAAGGTGCTTGCTGCATGCCTGGCAGTAGCATGACAATAACTAGTAATGAGAGAGGAGTGCTCCATCTGTTCAGACTATTCAGCTCTTTTGCACGGCTGCCCACGTGGCCAGGTATTTGCCATTAAATAAGATGATTAATTCCTTGACAAGTTGGTATCTGGCCTAGCAGTCCAGCATTTCCTTTCAGCATCTGTGGCTGCTTTGAGGAATGCAGCTTTATAGAATTTTACTAATTATCTAATAGCTTTTCAACCTCTTGTTTCAGTACAGGGAACTGCTGTTAATTAATTGCAGATCCTCGGCATACCATTCTTAACTGATTCCCCTAGTAAATATGTTTAACACTTGCCTTGGTTTCCTGTACATGATTCATTTGGTTGGTAAGTGATCCATCTTTGTTTGCTGTCAAAGTCTTTGAGTTGGAAGAGGACTTTAATCATGTTACTTGGCTTTCCTGAATAGAGAGAAGAAATGGAGTCAAAAAAGCACGCAATGGTAACGCAGTCAAAGAAAAACCATGGTCTGGGTTTCTTTCACCAACAAAAAAGTTGTGTAAGCTTCAATTTCCCTTTCATTTTCATAAAGAACATACTGGAAACATCTATTCAGCCAAAGACATGAAATTAAAACAAAGAAACAAAAACATCTTGAAAGGAGGAAAGGAGGCACTTTCCCAGCTTATGCATTAATTAAGACCAGTCAAAGAAAACAGCTTCAAAGGAAGGAGGAAGCCAGTGGTAAGCACGGCTGCAACTGCTTTTAATGGGCTATAGCAATGACATGCATGGCAGGCAGATCCAGAGCAGACATTAATGCAGCACTGTCAGTTCAAAGGGGACAGAGAAAAAGTTGGAGGCAAAACTGAAGTTACTGAATAGTAAAATTGTTTCACTAGCAGATTTGTCAGCAACACTATGGGACAAAGGAGCTTGTTTAGCAGAACACAATCATCTCGAGAACGATAAACACTGCTGGTTTAAAGATAAAATCAAAGGCCTTGAGAGCAAAGCAGAAGACATAAAAGTATGTATAGTTGGCTTTCCTGAAGGCGAAGAGGTTTGCATCCCTGTCAAACCATTCAGAAAGGAGCTGTTAAGCGCCCCAGGTCACTCTTGCACCCTTTAGCACCCACTCTTCCCCTGGGTGGAAGCCTGTGCAGAGCTGCATGAATATACAGCAGCATTTTTAGGTTTTCTGCGCATCTCATCAGCAGTGGTGTTTTGGGAGTCTGGCAGGAAAATTTATTCCCCTCCACCCCACAAAAAAAAAAAAGCTGAGTACAACCTACAACATACTATCATAAATATTTTATACAGTTTAAAAAATGGATTTGTTTAGCAGCAGAAGACAGGGCTTTATTATATTCTTTACATGCATATTTGTTTTCAGTGCTGTTCAGTCTGTGTCTTGGATCCAGCTGTCTGGAAAACCAGCTGGTGGTTTGTCGTCTCTTTTGACAAGCAGTTCAAGCTCTTGCTTTAAAAACTTCCTAGGTCCCTTCATCAGCGATCAGCAGCATGTGTGCATTTTTACAGGAACATGATGTCTACAAGGAAGTCTCCTAAAATCAAGATAAGTGTCTCTCCTTGCTTTATTCCAAACTGGCACACAACACAGTGAACATGGAGTAAATGAGTGATGACACACAATTTATTGCTATCAAGAACAGCATTCAGAGAGATGCAGCTGACACACTGGAGGGAAGCGAGCATTACCCTCAGGGAGGTTTTAGTGTCAAAAATGTATGAATATGCATCCACTGGTAAAAGTGTGGCTTACACTGTAGTGTTTTGGCAGCATCATATTCTTGTGCAATCTGGGTATCCAAGGCCACAGTTTTTCTCTAGATGTGCTCACATAACCTCTGCATCTGAAGAGGATCTTCCACTTTGACCTGGAGACTTGAAGGCCTGAAAAATGTACCACATCCACCACATCCTCCATGGTTTCTTCTCATGTTTAGTCATCCTCCATGGAAAAAACC